TTCATATTGTGCTGTAATGGCCGATTACACATTCTATCTATCTACAGATTTATGTATTCTATGAGCGTCATGGCGCGGACTACACCGCCGCTGTAAATAGAAGCGCGTGCTGAGTTGTGCGGGATCCTAAGCCTTGCTCTGTCTGTTACGATTCGATCACTACAGCGCCTTATGAGCAGCCCACTACCGAAAAAATTCCGTTAAAATTATGGAGCCGCCTGGCGAAGCCAGGCCAGCTCGGCGAAGCCGAGCTCAAGAGAAGGAGGAGAGCACGGCGTGAGCCGTGCGATCCGACTGGTACTCAAATAATCCTTTTTGTGTATTCACTGTAGTATATTTCCTAGACTCCTTGTCAATTTGATCTGCATGTATGCTTCGGAAAGGTTCAATCACGAAAACTTTTGTCCACCATTTAACATGTGGAACAGATCATCTGGCTTGGGCAGTGGATACTGGTTAATGTCTAATTGCGGATTTATCGTTATCTTATAGTCTCCGCATATTCTAACTTTACCTCCAGGTTTTGGAACGACCACTAATGGAGTAGCCCACTCCGAATGGTCAACTTGTGTTAAGGTGCCATTGTTCACTAGCTCCTGGAGCTTCTCTTCTACTTTAGGCCGTAATGCTAAAGGAACCGGTCGTGCTCAAAAAACTTCGGCACTGGCTCCATTTTAAACTTGAGCGTAGCTTGGGTGGTTGTACATCTTCCAAGACCGGGCTTAAATACAACCTTATTATCTTCTATGATCATTAGCAAGCTTCTGCTCCGGCTCTGGCAGAGATTTCTCTTGTATACTCTGATTATGGGACCCACAGTCGATCCTCAAAGCTCGGATCATATCTTTACCGCACAAACTGCGAGTAGTCCCCTCTAGTACGTAAGTCCATCTCGGCTTTTCTGCCATTAAACTGGACCCAAACCGTGCACTTACCGCAGAACTTAATTGGGCTGTTGTTATAAGCTGTTGCCTCAATCGTAGCTTCTGTGAGCGGAGGTTTACCTATCCTTCTCCACGAAGCCACATCTAAGATTGATACCGAGGCTCCGGTATCCAATTCGTACGCGACGTCTGTGCCATGAAATTTATCTTCAACATGGTGGCTGGTTCCACTCTCACCTTCGGCACGGCTTACGGTCTGCCGATCGTCGCATCTCCGCGGATCGTCCGACCTGCCACTCCGAGGCCTTTCGGATCTCCTGGCCTGATGCCTTGACTTTACTAGCTCTTCTCTACGACCTTGACGCTCCCTATGAGTCAATCTATCTATATTGTTCTCACTACTGTCACATTCGTCAAGATCGGAGGTGCTGGGCTCCGCACACCAGTTAACCCGGCGGGAGACTTTTCTCACGCCCGACGCTTTCGATCTACAAGCTTTGGCCATGTGTCCAGGTCGAGAACAGTTGGAACAAAATGCTGTTTGCCTCTTGAAACACTGATAGAAGGCATGTCCTCGACCTCCACAACATGTGCATTGTGCTATTGCGGTCGAGCGGTTGTTTACAACTCTATCATTCTGCGGCTGCCGTTTAACCCGGCTTTCATTTTGCCTTGACCGAGCTTGCAAGAGCGGTAAGTCTGTTTCGGCTTCGCTAATGACTTCCCCTTTTTGCGCGAACCACGGAGATACCCACTTCTTGAACACCCTCTTTCAGGTGGGGGGCGTTTCTTCCTACCCTCTCAAACGCTTCGGCCGCTTCTAAGGCTTCCTTAGATGTTGGATTCTCTCTATAACAATCGTTTCCTAGTTTCCACAGAAGCTAACCCTCCTATGAATACCATGGTGACCATCGCATCGCGGTGATCCTTTATTTTTTCGAACTCACATGCTGCTGCAGCTTTCTGCAGCTCAGCGTAGTAGTCCTGCAAGGTTTGTCCAGGGCGCTGTGATCGCGACATCAAACCATAGCGTTCGGCCAATATCAGCTTCTTCGGCTGGAAATGGCCGGCCATAGTGTCGCTTGACTCCTTTAATGTCCTTTCCTTGTAGTAACGACTCCAGCAGTTCGTAGTTGCTACCACCAATTTCCTGCAAAAAGATTAACCTTTGTTCCATCTCATCGGTAACCTTCCTCAATACGAGGAAGTTATTGAACAGTCGCCACCAAGTGCGCCACGGTGTACCTGGCACATATGCGCCAGAGGCGCGTCCCCGGTAGACCTCCGCCAAGAACCCGTGTTCCGCGGACGCTTTGATAGGAACAGAACTACCCTGTGACGCTGTCATCTTGAACGGTTGCCTTCTTCGTTATTTGCAAGCCCTCGCGCCTTCTTTTCGAACGCTGCCTCCAGTAATTCCACGAATACACTGTGATCGCCGCTGTCTGCGTTCTGCAATGCATGCATCTAACAGTGCACGCCTCAGCGAAGCAAGACTGATTGAAACGTGTTCTGTTTCGCGTGTATGGGATATGGGAGAAGAGTCATTGTAAGGAATTTCGGTATCAATCCTTGCGCTTTACATTGCAGTAAGAAAAGCAATTGATTCATCGTAAACAGCGGCAGCCTGGTGATATGCAATATACTTGACAAGGATAGAAAACGTATTCCGGCAAATTTGATTGCAAACAGTTGTGTTGGATGTGCCCGCTAGGGTAGGTCGTTGACTTATAGTAGTGTGGTTGACACTTGTAGGCCTTTAGCAAATGGTTGACACTTGTAGGCCTTTAGCAAATTGTATTGCAGACCTAAGCAACTCTATTGTTAAGAAGGGAATACAGTCTGGTTAGTACTATGGACAACTTGATTGTTGTAAGGTTTTTTGTAGTACTGTATGCTCGTTTTATTGTAGGTCTGAAGAAGCTGCTACGCAGCGAAAGCTCACCAATAAAAAGTATATATTGAGTTCTCATTAACCATTGTTCAAGAAAAAGACGTCATAACATGAGGCTCAGGGATAGCTCAATTCTTCATTATCTGAAAATCCAGCAACGACGACATCAAATTTGCCGGAATACGTTTTCTATCCTTGTCAAGTATATTGCATATCACCAGGCTGCCGCTGTTTACGATGAATCAATTGCTTTTCTTCTGCAATGTAAAGCGCAAGGATTGATACCGAAATTCCTTACAATGACTCTTTCCCATATCCCATACACGCGAAACAGACACGTTTCAATCAGTCTTGCTTCGCTGAAGCGTGCACTGTTAGATGCATGCATAGCAGAACGCAGACAGCGGCGATCACAGTGTATTCGTGGAATCACCTCAACGAAGAGTTCCCTGCGAGGAATGCTAGACTCTAGTGTATGGAGAGCAATTTCGGATAGAAATCAACGCTGCCTCCAGTAGTCGATTTGTGTACGGCCTCTTCTGCGTGAGCTTCTGTCCTGATCGCCCCTCGATAGCCTGTGACGAACACTGAGGGGGAATCTCTTCATTGTTTTCCACACACTGATATAGGCTTATTTATCCTTGCATCTTCTGCTTCCTTTGCCATTCGTCTTCATTTCCATTGTCCTCCTTCATCTTCCATTCACTTACCCTACTACACCAATTCCCCTACACATATAACCATTTATCAACATTTCGTATCAACTGTACTTCAGCAATGATCTATCGATAAAAGTACCAGCAACAAGAGTACGCACCAGCGATTATGCGACTACCCGCGCCTTATTGGGCGGGCTTTTGCGGTGTTCGTCCAGGTCGCCATGTTGCACACGGTTTGGCGTTATAACGTGTCGTTGGTTGGGAAAGCCGCCATTTTAAGCCTGCTGAGGGCATGCTATGCTTTCCGGCTAAGCGTATCCACCCTATATGTCTTCTCGATTTATCGTTTCACTTACTTTTAGGATTTACAAAACCCCTCCTGAAAATAGACCACTTGTTGGCCGTGAGGACAGTCCAGCATTCGAGTTAGTTTTGATGCTAACAGCACCGAAGTGGGATCGACGCAGGGTGATGCATAAGGACCTGTCACGGAAACAGGGGACATGAATTCCGATTGGGGTAGAAATTGAAACCGACTCTCTTGCGCTCGGGAGCGTCCCGTGACACCGCAGTCCAAACCAAATATCATGTTGAATGCATGAGTGGAGACGGGGTCAGACGACGCCCTCCCTCAAAAATTCATGGAAGGAGAGAGTGCTTTGATTGTTTCCGCCCGCACTATAAGCGCGCACTGTAACCTCGTCATCCGGGCAGTTGATTAGGGCGGTCGTCAACGGGCCGCAGCGCGTGCCAGGAACTATTTGCTTTTCCAGGCTAATTTAGTCATTTTTTCCACCTTGTGAAGATAAGGAGCTGCTAATCTGGGAAAAAGTAGCCAAAACAGTGAAAAGTTGGAAAAAATGACTAAATTAGCCTGGAAAAAGCAAATAGTTCCTGGCACGCGCTGCGGCCCGTTGACGACCGCCCTTGAATCAACGTGTCCGGATGACGAGCTTGACCTATGAGAAGCGCCTCATCGCGCCGCTGTCCGGCGACGGGCAGAGGAAGGGAGGGCATTTTGCCTTTTTCACTGCTGCACTATTTCACGCTTTTCAGGTTTCACTCTGGTGAAGCCTGTGAAATCCTGTTAAGCTAGAGTAGGCTCGTCGAGCTACCATCATACCATCAACCATTAAGTTATGAAATAGCTCTCTGATTAGCTAGCAAAGCTGCAAAAATTGCTCCCTAACCCGGGTGCCGAACTGTGCCCTGCTGATCCCTTAATTTGGAAAGGGACCGCCAAGAAGCAGCATGTTTTTGCAAAAAAAAATTACGAAATTCTTTCAATATAGTGAGAAGAACCGAGGTTCTGATGAAGAGAAATCTCCGCGAAAGAAATGGATCAAGCTGAAGAAGAGGAAGAAACCAAAAAAGAAAAAAGTGGAGAGAAGTTGAGTGATGAGCCGGTCCATGAAGTGAAGAAAAGATGGTGGCAGTTTTGGTAGATCTTATCCATGGTCAAATTTAGACACTTCCATTAATTCGGTTACGTTTTGAATAATAAAGGAATCCTCGTTTTATTTGATTTAATTAGCATAACTATTAGGACCTCGAGTTTGTGATGATTACATGTAGTAAGGCAGCGTTCAGACTTGTAGCGCTACAGCTGTAGCGCGACGCAGCGCTACAACTGTACCAGCCAGATTCCCTTTATGTTTTTTCGTTCTGAACTCAATCCCTACTCCTTGTTTCTTATGTTTATCTGATCCTGAGCTCCCTTTTTTCTTTAATACTGAATTTTGATGTAGTTTTGATACAGAACACTGTGATGATTGATTTTATATATCGTTGTCGACTTTAATTATCCAGACTCAGGATTGCTATTGATGTTTGTGTCTTGCAGTGGTGCCATGTTGATCCCGATTTCAAAACTGTTCAATCAATTTCAATTGCTATCGAAAATACATCAAACAGCTGTAGCGCTACAAGTCTGAACGCTGCCTACAGAAAATATTTATAAACATGCTGATAAAAGTTATCAGAAAATTTGATTTAAAGGCAGTTGGCAATAACTGATAATTTAGTACTCGGTGTAAAATGTTGGCAGGGGTGCTAAATAGTGGGAAAATGGCGAAAAAAAGAAGTGAAAAGGACAAGAACCTGCGGCAGTACGAGCATCACGTACGGGCGTCCATTTGCGAACGGGCGAGCGCGATGGGCCTCCCAATAGCTGTGTTGCAGATTGATGGGGCCTTATAGGGGTGCCTTCTCTTCGCTGAAAAATGCTACGCGCCCTTGCTCAGGGAGCGCGGAATTCCTTCCCGCAAGGCGTATTAATCCTACTCGTCTTCAAAGATTTATCGCGCTAACTGCATGTAATCATTATTTGGGAAGCGCCGCCCACTTTCAGCTCAGGATTGTGGTGACATCCGAGTGCAACCTACCTATTGATACTTGATATTGCAATCACTCGTGAAGGTGTGGTGGGGGGGGGGGGAGTGTCGGAATGACCCCCCACCACACCTTCACGAGTGCTCCTAGGCTGCCTTTTCTACAAATAATGATCGACAAACGATCCATTCAGGAAGAAAACGACCAGTGGTGGAAACAGCACGGGTGGGCTTATCCCATGCCTCTTGACACCACCGCGACTAATTGCGGAGATATTAACTGCAATCAAGGTACAGCATCGTTGCGCCTTTCATGCAAAGCCGATGTTACGTAAATACACGAAGGGTAGCCGTGTAATTGCACACATCAGGCGATTACCGTAACCCCAAATCTGTTTGCATTCGCCCATGGAGTGCAACTGTGGTGCGATAGGTTGGTCATTACGTGTATTAAGGGGGTCTTTTATCAAGTAGCTTTCAAGGAACATTCGTAGTAACATTCCCGTACTAATTCTACTTTGGTAACTGGTGCGGCTCTTCCCGTCTCTTATCGGAAGAATTGACGAATTGAAGAAATAAAAATTGTAGCATTGATGAAACGATTAATTGATTGTGCGAAGATGCTGCAGGATTGTTGGGAGTATGTAGATTCGAAAAAATGACCAATGCTTCTCGTCACTCTGCAATTTTTGGGACAATTTATCCTTTACTGCTAAGTTTTCGAAGTTGGAGTTCCGTCTTCGATTTGTGTAAAGTAGGTCTCCAGGCGTAGTTCGACTTCCTGAACATGAAATCACATCCATTCAATGACCAGGGACCACTAGCTCCATCAACGTGGCCAGCGAACACTAGCTATCTTTGAAGTAGCGAACTCCAGCGTGCAAGGGGGTCCAGGAGTGGGGATTATGGCAGGAGGTTAGCACAGCTGGTTGGGCATCCGATATTGCGGTGCGTGCTACGGCACCTCAAAGCTGCCCTACACCTTACATCAAGCCAGCTTAATTCTAAGCTTTGGCAGTTGTACGGTGCGGTCGTACACAACGCATTTTCATGATGTCTCCTCAAATATCCCTATTCATGACTCCTAGACTAGACGGCGGTGGACGCGGGCGTTCGCTACATTGAGATCTTGATCCCTAGCCGCTGACGCTGCCTTTCGCTCGAAACGAAAGGTTGGTGGCTTCCTTTCCGAGCGAGAAGCAAAGCAGCACCTGAATGGGTGTCTGCGGTAGTGATCTTTCTCTTCACTGGGACAGAGATATAGCCGCGTGGAAAGAACGTTTGGCCGTGAATCAGACCCCGCATTACAAAAGGGAAAATCGCATCCAAACTGAGAACCACAGAGGAAATCGAAACCTCGCAAGATGAGGAAGGTGCCGTTAGACTGTAGGTCTGTTCCAGCCGCTGATACCTCATAGTAGCGGAGGAAAATTCAAATGCCTTCTTCAGTTCAATATACAAAATGGATTGGAATGAAAATCATGTATAATCCTCCAAGAACGAACAGTGCGCAACGATACAGGTGCTGAAAGACAAGTAGGATACCCTACGATGTCAGTGAAACGGCTGATCAGACAACTTGTTAAAAACAATACTCTTCATTAGTGCGTAGCTGCCGAGTGAAAACCGCAAAACTTCGCCGTTTTTACAAAGGGAAGAAGCATGAAGTGATTTCTTAGAAGCGATTACTTAGGCGTTACCGATCATTTAATATTTAAGGTACACTATGTTGGTCATTATTTGCCTACGTAGTGACCAACCTATAGCATCTCATTTGCACTCCATGGGCGAATGCAAACAGTTTTGGGGTTACGGTAATTGCTTGCGGTGTGCAATTACACGGCTACTCTTCGTGTATTTACGTAACATCACCCATCAGGCGTCGTACTTGGCCGAGGAGAGGTCGTTAAATGCAGGTCAAACAGCACAAAAGTGTCATCGCTAAGTTTGCTGGAAAGCTGCAGAGGGCTCGGATGTGAGAAAGACCACAAAATATCCAAACAATTTGGTGGACCTTTCCACCACCTCAGAGTAGAAGAATAATGCACGACGCACACTCGGACCAAATCGATCGATGATAACCAAATTACTTGAGCAACTCGGAAGGTCGCCCAAGGGTGACCCATGTAAAATAACTCCTAAACTAGCGAGTAGTTAGGAGAACTGTAGAGCTTGTTGGAAAGAGGAAAGTATTGCGCGTTTTGATGGTTTCTTTTGTGCAAAAGATGGTGTTCGAAAAAGTTATTCTCGTCTGAAGCGCTTGCGATTTAGCATTAGCGCGTCCGTAGCCCATCCAAAATATTTCACGAACAGGGAAGGATTCGGATGGCGAGTAGGTGGAAAACGCAACAGTGCAGACACTGTTTCAACATGCCCCTTCTGTTTCTCAAACGCCCCACTTATAAAACAGCACTCATCCCCAGAGCCTCGCGATTCCCATCCGGCCAACAGATCTGCTCCACTGTTAATTTGTTACGGAATCATAACGCAGTCGCCAGCGCCTGCGAATAGTTACGTATGTAGTCCTTTTCGGCAGGCAAACAATTTGAGCCCGAAAGGGGTGGGTCGTACCAGGATCCCTTTCCAAGGGGGGGGGGTGTACCGACACCGCCATTTCACACATCACGATGCTGTACCCTGACTGTAATTACTAGCACGGAGTAGCATTGGTTTGGTGATCTTATATCTCAAATATCTTCAAGTATATCAGTACCCGTTTTCGCCCTCCCCCCCCCCGCCAACCGCCGCTGTCTTTTTTTCACATT